TAAGTCGTATTGTTAATTGCATCCAAGATAAGCAGACAAATATCTATTCACAGAAAAGTGACCACATGGTTTGTCATGACGAATTCTATGAAAAGTACGATTGAGAAAAATGGGAATTCATATTAATGAAAAATCAGTTAGAATGATGATCGATAGATATCAAAGGAAAACAATTTGGTGAGAGTCATTTGCAAGATCGAAGGAACTATCATGCAAGAGTGTAAACAAAATGAAAACAACTCCTTAGCTTCCCATCGAATGCCTGTGTTTATCTGGAATTCGTTTATGACAAAATAAAAGAATCGTAAACAAAATATGGGTAAGGATATTGAATCGATGAAGAAACTCAAACTGTGATTCGAAAATGTGAATAGAAAAATAGAGTGGAAGCGAATGGCAACGATCTGTATGATACGTGATATTTTGCTTGACAAACCGATTTGTGGATCCTCCTCCCATTTTGCATCCAAATTCTATGTTTACATCTACTGTATTAGGAAAATAAGTCACAAACTCGACTGCTTTGAGCATCTTAATTATACAAGTCAGTGATTTCTGATAGCATCAGATTGTATGTTAATAGTGAAGAATTGGATCTTAGTAAACTCTAAAATTTGCAATCAGTCATTATTGGGAATGATAGTTAGCCTTTAGTGAGATAATTCAAAATCATTGGATTGAAACACATAATATATTTGGATATCGGCAAGTATTCAATACCTATGTTGAAAGACTTAAGCTGGAAATATAAAAGAATAACCAATGACTCAAATTCGTTTGTATTATGAGCTACTCAGCACCGGAATCATTCGAAATCAGTGAATATGGTTTCAGTGCCTTTAGAGATCTATTTAAAGTGATAAATAACTCGTCCCTTATATTGATAACAATTGGAATATATATAAAAGTGTCATTCAATTTTCATTTGATTTCAATTGTCATTCGAATTGTTTTTTTAGATTTTGATGATAATTATGCAGATATTCCAAACCTCAGTTCTATGAATTGAGGTAATAGGGTGATTGATGATCCACTTTCAACTATTATCGATAGGACTCAATAGTACATAGAAATTGAATATAATTATTCTACATATGTTGCAGTCGATTCGTCCTGGTTTCACAGCACTTCTCTGGAGTAGAGATTCATCCAGCTAAATTACCATGAAAAATAGGAGTGAATGAGCTGTAACTGAATTGAACATTGTAATTCTTTCCAGTCTTCCATTTATTCATTTTTTGGCAATTCATCATTTGAAACATATTCAGTAACGATAACAAATAGATTTATAATTATAGGGGTGAATATAATGGTATTTCTCATTTTAACAATATCGATTCTCCACTATAGTTTGAAGTAATTCGTTTGTTATTTATTGAATGTAAAGTATAAGCTGTATTTTGTCTTTTTAGATACTTTAATTCGCTTTACTGAACTTGATGATCAAAGGATATATGCTTAATCGAAATATAAAGATAATATGAGTCGAAACTGGTAGACATATATATGTTGTTAATAGGCGATACTTGAGATGTTGGTTACGTTTTATTAGAATAATTGGATATGGATTTATGTGCACACTGAATATATTAACATATTATTTCAGGGTTTAGGTGAATAATAAGTATATGTTTTTAATGATACATGATTATGTCAATACTATTATTACACTATATTCGATTGATGTTATTACTTCAATTGAATTCCTGTTACTGATATATGACAAAAACTTGTAGTGAAGAAATGCTAGAAATAACGCATAGAAATACAAATTACTAATAGACAATATCACAAGATACTCAAAACAGATAAATTATTCGATATTCCTTCAAATACAATTGTGAAATAGTCCATTAACAATATTTGCGATGATTTACAAAAACAAACATACAACAACAAATGTACTCAACATTTACCGCGTATTGCGTTCAATTGGGCAGAAATTTCTATATATTCACAATTATATCAATTATTACTTCCTTTTCTTGTTATCTTTGCTTTGGCAAACGCATTTTTCGGTAAATCAATATGTGTTAAAACTGGAATGTCTAAATATCAATTTGAATTCATTTCTCTTTACTCTCAAATGTAACTGAAGTAGTATAATGGAATGCATTATCTAGGGCAGTAAGCGATTTGAGTGCGGGTAAATCTATTCTTCATTTTCATTATGTAGCAAAACTCTCCATTTCTATTTGGAAATTTCCACTTTTTCCATAGAACACGAAAGAACTCAATTGAATAGTATTCAATAGAGGAAGATCTAGTATTCAATTCATTCATTCATTCATATATACTCTTTATGATTAATCTCTCTGAATATACAAATGATTGTTCTCCGATTTCAATAGTTTGGAGTTGACGAAGATCTATTTATTATTATTATTATACTTACAATTCAATACCAAATATGTAACATGAAGATTTAGAGAACGATTGTTTACCCACTTTGATAGATTTGAGTTTTGGACAATGACATATTTCAAATGATTGAGTTTTGGAACAACAACGATCACCTATCACCAATCTTTCTAACAATATCCATGAATTTATAGACACTTTATCAAAAGAATAACAATCATCACTGAAAACTAATGTTGAATGATTTGAATCGGATTTTGATAGACTTGAATTATCTGTTTTATCGTGAATAGTAATTGAATTTTCTTCATTTCCAATTGTAGAATTAGTTTGATCCATTTTGGGGTAAACGCTTCGTTTGCTCGTTGAAATGGGATTTGATGTATTGGAAATTGAATGAGATTGAGATCCAGTCATTTCATTTCCATTTCCATTTTTATGTACATTCCCTTTCAAACTTCTATATTGTGGTTGAGTGGTTGCACTTGAGGTAGTCATTTCATTTCCATTTGCTTCGAAACTAGATTTCGAACTATTGTTTAATAAGGATTGAATCATTGTGTGATCAGTTGGTTTCGATTCAATTCCTCTTCTGTTCAAATATGCCATAAATGCTTGGCTCACATCTAGTTGATTATCAAATTCATTATTTCATACGATTCAATGACATTTCTACCTGATTTGTAAAAGCACCATCAAGTGAAATTTGTGACACATTTGGTAAATCTATATCAAATAGTGATCGTTTCAATACTTTCTATTTCGATTCTATTTACATTCTTCCAACAACTAGTTTCTGATGTAATTGTTGTGAGATTCGTAAGATCTATACATCAAATCAAATATCGAATGATTACTTTTCATTATCAAACTAGATCCTCTGGTATGTCCTATCATTGATGAATCGCTCATTTCGATTGATTTTAGTTTTGGTAAATCTATATACAACATAAAAATAACAAATCATACTTATAAATACAAAACTTTGATAATAAGTAAATGATCGCATTCCAAACTTGATAGTTTTCAAAAGTGAACAATCTGATATTTGCAATATTGCTCCCTTAACTAAACTTTGAACATAATTACCGATAATCAAATGTTTCAAATTCGGGAAATTGAGCATATTGATAACAAGTGTTGTGAGTAAATCATCTTTATATGACTCTTTAAATTCAAGTGTAGATGCTGTATATTGTGTATTTTCTTGAATTTTGTCTCCATTGGACAAAAACCATTCATCACTATCAACTCTTTGTTGTGTGTGATTTACTTGTTTTGTATCAATAACCGAATTACTTGGCCTTTCAACATTCTTTCTATCATGAGTTTGTGGTGGGTTTGTAATAAAGTTAGTAGAATTTGTTGTTATTGTTTTTGCTGTTGCTGGTTCAGGCTTGATAGAAGGTTTGGATTGATTTCTTGCAGACATCGCATTTCCATCTCCCACATTTCTTTGACCTACAGAATCATTCTCATCAATTTGTTTATTCTCAGTATCCTTTGAAGATTTTGGTGATATTGCTGGAGGGGAGTTAGAAATAGCATTGGGTACATATTTAGACTTGATAGTAGATTTTGGACTCGTTAATGATTGTTTTTCATTTGCTCGAGGATAATGCTTTTTAGGATTGTTTATGTACTTTCCATAATACACTTGAGTTTTGGTACTAATGTCAATGCTATTCGTATCGTTATTGAATCCATAAATGTATTCTGTCATCAGGTCATTATCTTTGAATTGCTTGAACGGAACAAATGTATCACCTTTGACGCCTCCGCATTCAATTAATTTTCCATCGATAGACTTTGAATAATAGAGATATTCCTCTTTCTTGTACTGATCATTAAACTCTGTTACATAACACTCGTTTCCATTTGTAAATCTGATATAATAGCTTTTTGCAGTATCAGTTTTAAGGAATAAAGGACTTCTATAAGGAACAGTTAAAACGGGCTTATCTCCATTATCAATCCAGTGAATCATAATATTGTCTCCATCTTGAATAGCATAATTTGGATATGCAGTATCGAGAATGTGAAATGTGCTTTCTAAGTCTAAAAGAATGAACGAATATTCTACTAAATGCTCCTCTTTGATCATGCACTGTGCAATCGATCACCTGACTCATGGTTATAAAGCAAATTAGTCGAAAAACATTCTGATGTACAGTGGTCATTGATTATCAACGATCTTGCTTTTAACAGAAGCTATCTAATTTCCTGTTTATTTGCATTTTATATTTATTATAATATGGTTTCGACAAAGATAAGGAATATTCTATTTACTATTTTTTATTATGGGATTTTGATGATTACTATTCTACTCTGTTTCAATTAAACTATATCGGTATCCAACAATAGAATCAATTCTCAAACTCTTTTGAATAGTTTCCAGCTATTTCGTACATTACTCCGCGTATTTCATATTAGTTTTTCATGCAATAAGTGTGATATCTCAAACGTAATATTCGTCCATTTTTATATGTGGGCTTCATTTTGTGAATGAATGTTGATTCATGAGTGTGCAAAGTGGTATGTTTTCTTTTAAACTATAAACTCATCAATCGCAAACCAACAAATTAACCACACTACCTCTTTTTTCACTCACCTTTCAACCCAACTTCACCGATCGCTCCATGATCTGGAACACCGATCTCATCGAGACGCTCGAGCTCCAGAATCTCCTCGAGCAGGCACACTGCACCATGATCGCCGCCGAGGCGCGCAAGGAGTCGCGTGGAGCCCACGCGCGCGAGGACTACAAGGAGCGCGATGACGTGAACTGGTTGAAACACACCGTGGCCTACCACGACGACGCTCTGTTTGGAACGGGAACCACCAAGCTGATGTACCGTCCCGTGCATATGAACACGCTGGACGAGAACGAAGTGAAGCCCATTCCGCCCAAGGCGAATGAGCAGGATTCACAATAACGTTTCACGTGCTTTGCCCCATGATTCTAATCATATCTGTTCACTCTGCAGTTCGCAATGAATTGAATTTATCAATAAAACATAGCAGAACCCCAAGTTTGAGATTAAAAACAACAGATTGGAAAACTAAATTGCTAGCTGATTTCCATAAGCTTCCATGAGATAAACCGCAGAAGAAAACATCACTACACTCCACAAAGAAAAGATGTTGAATGAAAGAACTAAGCAAAAGCAATAGAGGATATGTTTTTAACGCGTGTGGTAGAATCTTCACCGAACAGGCCGAGAATCTTAGAAACGAAGGGACCATACCTACCACCTCACTCAATTCTTCAAAGAATCACTTCTCCCTTTCCTTTTTTTCCAAGCTCTTGCTAAGATGATCCAAAGCCACCATCTAATAGTTTTCTTTTGCAACTTTCGATTGAATTGAAATAGTCTCTATTTTTACTATTCCCATTTTCCTTGAGAATTCAGAAGAATGTTGCGGTTGGGTTCTTCTGGAGTTAGGAGGCTTTCTCGGTGTTTGTATGACGCAACTCGAAAGCGATGGTAGGTTCTTATTCTGGGTGTAATGTAGTTTGTTTACGTTATCGTCCTGTGATGTTCACCCGGATGTGACGGATGCAATAAGTAATTCTAAACTGTTGCTTCCTATCGATACTTCTGTGTTTTTGTTTGGTACTAGTTTGCGGATTCTATTGAAGCTAGAGAAGGACTACCAGCAAAGCGTTGCATTTATGCAGTCCCAGATCGATATTGCCAAAAGGATGAATGTTGTTGCCGTTCCTGCTGCATTAATCTGTGGAAAGGTATGCTGAGTGCCTATTTATTTATTGTTTTAGGTGAAAATTGGTCTTAGTGCTCAGGACTTGAATTTCTTACAAAAGTATACCGGGAAATTAGTAGAATGTAATATGTACGCTTCGTTTTGGAGGTTTCAAACTGTAGCAACAATATAGACAGCCTAATGCAGTCAGGAGCAACGGGCTACTTCACAACGAGCCTGATTTCCTATGTTGGAAGTCTTCTCAACTCTCCAGTCACTGTATCCGGGTTTATTCAAGGCCTGGACAAGCTGGTACCGACAACCTCTGTGGATATTGAGTCACTGCGAAAATACCATCCGACCGTTTGGTCTGCTCTTTTCTCTGATCGTAGAATGTCAACTGTGGCTTCGATCTGCCCACTGATATCTACACGACCGTGCCTTACATGGCATCGAACAGCATCAGCATCGTCACTCCCGGGTTTCAGTACATCCCGATCGTTTACAACCAGCTCTTGTAGATTTGCTTGTTTTCTCGTTTTGATCGTAGCAAAATGAAGTCAGACGTCACGACGTATTCCTCGACGGAGCTGTCTGCTCTGCTGATTCGCAATGAGCAGATGCAGTTCCCTCTTTCCTATACTGTCAGCGTTCATTCCAAGGACACGACTCGCTCTGCTCGCATTGAGAAGCTTCTTCCCGCGGTTTATTTCGAATGTCAGCGGAAAAACATTCCGTTTCATGAGCAAAGCCGATTTCTGCATAATGTACCGAGCCGTTTCGGCTGTTTGTTGTAGTGCCTCGCCGAGAAATCGAACGGACTGAGTCGCAATTTGTTTATGAGCTGCTTGAAGAATGCGACGAAGACGGGTCTGATGTTGTTGCAGCGGATCGACGAGCAGAAACATCCCAAAGAGAGCGAGTTGTCGGTGCAGTCGCGGAAGAACGCGATGAAAGACGCGGAGATGAAAGGAATGGTGGACGAGGCGATTCAAATCGAAGAAGAAAACGAGCAGCGAGCCAAGGAACAAGTGTTGAGACAGGAGGCCGCAGAAGAAGAAGATGATGAAGAAGGAGAAGAAGAAGAACAAGGAGAACAAGAAGAACAAGAAGTGGAGGAAGCGGAGGGAGGAGCCTCCAGTTTTCAATCTCAGCAGGAAACGCGCAGTTCCTCGCGGAGCTTCGCGTCTCCTACCTTTGTTTCCATGTTTAACACACTCGAACCGACGCAAGAAAACACGGTTTCCACTTCACACAATTCTCCTTTTTCGGTTCACTCCACTTCTCTTTCCTCTATTCCACCTTATCACATGGGATCCCCCATTTTTGTGGGTGAGGTCGCCACCGGACTGTACTCACAACAATCAGCCGTTTCAAATCGATCAGGCTTTGTGTTTCACGATCTTGGAGGCGTGGCTCGAAACGCCTATGAAGTCTTTCTGCGTCTGTCTCCAAAGAATCGGCCGCTCTTGGTGGGAGCGATAGGGAATGACGAAGGAGGCAAGCGAATTCGCGATTTCCACGGGAAAATGGGCGATTCGTTGGAAGGAGTCAAAGTGGTGAATGGCTCCTCTCTGGAAATCTGGGGATTTTACGACAAGTCGGGGTATCCAGAGAGCGAATATCGATCGTATTCGGATGCAAAGATTTCAGTGAGCCATCTAAACGAACTGAGTGAATCTTTTGAGAAAGCGTCGAGCGTGTTCGTCGATACCTCTCTCAGCATAGAGGCTCAACGGAGGGTTGCGACGCTTTTGAAAGACAAGCCAAGCCGATTGCTGGTGAGTCCATGCGAACCTTCGCAGTTGAAATCTCTGTTAGAATCATCTCTGCTTCAACGCACCGATTATTTGTGCATTTCGGTGGAGGAATTGTGGGACATGGCGTGCTTAGTGAAGCCAGAACTACGAAGCCAATCCGACGATTGGAAGCAGCGAAGTAGATTTGCGATGCAGCTTTGAGAATAGATTGGAAAACAGAGGAGTTTTCGGAAGCGATTCCTCGCTTGAAGGAGCCGCTGAATGCGGTTCTGAGCGAAATGCAGAGTCACCAAGATGATAATTATATAGTGTTGAATTATGGATCGAAAGGAGTGGCGATGGTGGTGAAAGAAGCGAATGCTTCCGACATGGATGTGATTTATTTCGCGACGAAACATTACCAGACCTCTTTTGAATCCAATATTGCTGCAAGTAGGATTGAAAGGGAGGCGTGATGGAAAGAGGAAGCGTTTTTAGGAGGATTGATGATGGGTTTGGAATTGGATTATCCGTTAAACATGGCAATGGGGATCGGAATCGGAACGGCGCGATTTAACAGTCGGCAGCAGCGGATTGTGGCTCCCACCATTCACGAAGGCATTCACTCTCACTTTATAAATACTTATTTGAAACAACTTTGGGGTTGAAAGTGTTTGTTCTAGATGTTCTAAATTCTTTCAATGTTCTCAATGTTCTAAATCAAACAAAGGATAACATAGTCATTGAATACAACTCGAGTCAATTCGCAGTTCCATTCAATCATTGATTCACATTTCATAATTCTTACAGTCGTCACTCAGTGATTTTTCATTCACTGTTCAGTACTTTCGACGCCGCAATTCCTCCTGATACTTTGACAAGATCTGCTGATATTGCTCTTCATTAATCACCTTCATCGCCTTCGCCCACTCCAACGACTCCATCATCACTCCTACCGCTTCTTCCACTTTACTCGCTGGCTGCGTCAGCATCGGGACCTGCCCTCGATACAGAATATCCAGAGTTGCCGCCTTCTGCATCCACGGCTCTCCATCGATCTGAATCGGACATTTCTCCTTCAGTTTGAATTGAATATGCCTTCCTCTTCCAATCATAAACGCCTTGCTTAATCCCGCCTATTTCTCACTTCCCCTTTCTTCCCTCACCAGCGTCGTCGCACAGTGCAGAATGTTTCGAAACCCGATCACTTCGAGAATCCCATCACTGCTCGAGAAATAGTCCTCCGACACGCCCAGCGGCAGCGATCCCCCGGCATAATACGGAATGTTCAAGCAGGTAACACTAATCGCGTCGTGCAATTCGCATTTCACTCCATCGACGAGCAGTTCGATGCTCTCAGAAAGTTTCGGATAGGAGGGATTCAACGTTTCTCCGCCGCCCACTGCGGCGTACCAGACTTTATTCCCCAGCTGCGAGTTGAACAGCGAGGGGTTTCGCTCGCGCATCGTGTGGAAGCGAAGCGCGATGGCGGCATCGGATCCGATGGAGAAATAGCAGTTAAAGTTTCGATTCTATCAATAAAAAAGAGGTTTGTCAACAAACAGAGATCGCTTTTCGATGCGCAGAAGTGGTCTGCAGATCCCAGCGATCCAACAAAATCACTACTCATCCAATCATTCCACCAATCCCACATCGCGCCGTCGACACTTGCTTCAAAATCTTCTCCGTCGACTGCCCATCCTACATCAAACTCTCTCTCAACCAGCACCACAAAGCCGCTTCCCCAATTCAGCGAGCGCGACAAGTCATTTCCCGTCCCCAGCGGGAGAATCGCCACCGCCGGCATCCGTTTCCACTTATACTTCTCGATCATATTCAGCACCCAGCCCACCGACCCCTTCCATTAAGAATTCCAATCGAACCTCCATGGATATGTCTCCGCCGCACACCAAAATCCGGAGGTTCTCCAGTTCCACGAAGTTCCGAAGCGCCTCGTGCGGGTTTTTCTCCTGCAGATCGACGACTTGGATCGGATGCAGCACGCGTCGAAACTGCGGGAGAAGATGGCTGCCGTACTGGCCGCCCGACCGCGAATTGATGAACACGAGGATCGGCGTCTCGTTGCACGGGATGTTCAGGATCCATTTGCGGCGATCCGCGGTTTTTCCGCGCTCGAAATAGCGATTGAGCTCGGGGCTGCGCAGTGATCGGGGTTTGAGAATCGTACTTTTCTTGGATTCGCTTGACGTACTCCATGATTCCGGTTCGATTCACGCTAAAAATGATTTTTAGCGGGCAATTCCCACTTCATTTCGGTAAAAACTGACTGCCACGAGAATTTCCGAGTTCTCTGCGCTTCCTCCTTTTTGTCCTCTGCCTCGAATTGACAGCTGACTTCGCGCGGCTTGTATTCGGTGAGGCTGGGGGGAGGGGAACCGCCGACAGAATCATCATCGAACGACCCGCGCGATTTCCGGAATCGGAGTTCATCTTCGGTGGAAGGATCGAAAATCGAAGCAGAAGAAGTGGAAAAGAAGGAAGAAGTGGAGGATGAATGATCGCTCATGGATCGAACTAATGTGCGAGATGCGTTGGCAGGAGGAGAGGTGGGGACGAAGGGAATCTTCTCGGGGATGGGAGACTCTGGACTGGAGGGCTTGGAGTAGAAAGAGCGAACGAACGAAGGGGAAATGATGTAGTTTTTGAACTTACCGAAATCGCAGAATTCGTCCAACTGCGAGGCACACTCACTAGGAGAATAGAATTGATAGGGGAAGAGGGTACTCGTGGACAACGCGCTGGCACCACACACAGCGTTTGCCTGTGAGGTTTACGAAGGAAGTGATCTCCTCGTGACAGATACAGCAGGTAGTTCCAATATCGATATTCCCATCCAGCCAAATAGTGAGAAAAAAATTAGAAAGCATACCACAAGTGCTTTATCTGCTGTTTGGTAGATGTGAGCTGTTTACAGTGGAATTTTGAATGTGAGATACATGATTCGTGGATAAAGGAGCCACAATAATCACATTCACATATTTCTACAGATCAAGTCTTTTTCTGAACAGTTACTATCTTGCCCCGGAAGCAATAGCTTTTTGCATTCATGACAGGATTTTGGATTCTTGGGTATGCTTTCAGACCAGAGATGGCCATTTTTCTTGATTGTGTATCCTAGAGTCATAGTAATATAATAAATGCAATACTTGTATGTTTTAAAAATGAAGTCGATATGTAATAGTAAAGAAAAATCACCAGCACTATAATGCCCAAAATGATACTCAAAACAGATAAATCATTCGATATTCCTTCAAATACAATTGTGAAATAGTCCATTAGCAATATTTGCGATGATTTACAAAAACAAACATACAACAACAAATGTACTCAACATTTACCGCGTATTTCTTTCAATTGGGCAGAAATTTCTAAATATTCATCAATTATATCAATTATTACTTCCTTTTCTTGTTATCTTTGCTTTGGCAAACGCATTTTTCGGTAAATCAATATGTGTTAAAACTGGAATGTCTAAATATCAATTTGAATTCATTTCTCTCTACCCTCAAATGTAACTGAAGTAGTATAATAGAATGCATTATCTAGGGCAGTAAGCGATTTGAGTGCGGGTAAATCTATTCTTCATTTTCATTATGTAGCAAAACTCTTCATTTCTACTTCAAAATTTCCACTTTTTCCATAGAACACCGAAGAACTCAATTGAATAGTATTCAATAGAGGAAGATCTAGTATTCAATTCATTCATTCATTCATCTTTACCCTTTATGATTAATCTCTCTGAATATCCAAATGATTGTTCTCCGATTTCAATAGTTTGGAGTTGACGAAGATCTATTCATTATTATTATTATACTTACAATTCAATACCAAATATGTAACATGAAGATTTAGAGAACGATTGTTTACCCACTTTGATAGATTTGAGTTTTGGACAATGACATATTTCAAATGATTGAGTTTTGGAACAACAACGATCGCCTATCACCAATCTTTCTAACAATGTCCATGATTTTATAGACACTTTATCAAAAGAAAAACAATCATCACTGAAAACTAATGTTGAATGAATTGAATCGGGTTTTGATAGACTTGATTGATCTGTTTTATCGTGAATAGTAATTGAATTTTCTTCATTTCCAATTGTAGAATTGGCTTGATCCATTTTGGGAAAAACGCTTCCATTGTTCGTTGAAATGGAATTTGATGTATTGGAAATTGATTGAAATCGAGTCCCAGTCATTTCATTTCTATTTCCATCTAAACTAGAATTCAAACTATTGTTTAATAAGGATTGAATCATTGTGTGATCAGTTGGTTTCGATTCAATTCCTCTTCTGTTCAAATATGCCATAAATGCTTGGCTCACATCTAGTTGATTATCAAATTCATTATTTCATACGATTCAATGATATTTCTATCAGATTTGTAAAAGCATCATCAAGTGAAATTTGTGACACATTTGGTAAATCTATATCAAATAGTGATCGTTTCAATACTTTCTATTTCGATTCTATTTACATTCTTCCAACAACTCTTTTCTGATGTAATTGTTATGAGATTCGTAAGATCTATACATCAAATCAAATATCGAATGATTACTTTTCATTATCAAACTAGATCCTCTGGTATGTCCTGTCATTGATGAATGGCTCATTTCAATTGATTTTAGTTTTGGTAAATCTATTTACAACATAAAAATAACAAATCATACTTGTAAATACAAAACTTTGATAATAAGTAAATGATCGCTTTCCAAACTTGATAGTTTGCAAAAGTGAACAATCTGATATTTGCAATATTGCTCCCTTAACTAAACTTTGAACATAATTACCGAAAATCAAATGTTTCAAATTCGGGAAATTGAGCATATTGATAACAAGTGTTGTGAGTAAATCATCTCTATAGTACTCTTTAAATTCAAGTGTAAATGCTGTATATTGTGTATTTTCTTGAATTTTGTCTCCTTTTGACAAAAACCATTCATCACTATCAACTCTTTGTTGTGTGTGATTTACTTGTTTTGTATCAATAACCGAATTACTTGGCCTTTCAACAATCTTTCTATCATGAGTTTGTGGTGGGTTTGTAATAAAGTTAGTAGAATTTGTTGTTATTGTTTTTGCCGCTGGTTCAGGCTTGATAGAAGGTTTGGATTGATTTCTTGCAGACATCGCATTTCCATCTCCCACATTTCTTTGACCTACAGAATCATTCCCATCAATTTGTTTATTCTCAGTATCCTTTGAAGATTTTGGTGGTCTTGCTGGAGGGGAGTTAGAAATAGCATTGGGTGCATATTTAGACTTGATAGTAGATTTTGGACTCGTTAATGATTGTTCTTCATTTGCTCGAGGATAATGCTTTTTAGGATTGTTTATGTACCCTCCCTGATACACTTGAGTTTTTGTACTTGTATCAATGCTATTCGTATCGTTATTGAATCCATAAATGTATTCTGTCATCAGGTCATTATCTTCGAATTGCTTGAACGGAACAAATGTATCACCTTTGACGAGTCCGCATTCAATTAATTTTCCATCGATAGACTTTGAATAATAGAGATATTCCTCTTTCTTGTACTGATCATTAAACTCTGTTACATAACACTCGTTTCCATTTGTAAATCTGATATAATAGCTTTTTGCAGTATCAGTTTTAAGGAATAAAGGACTTCTATAAGGAACAGTTAAAAAGGGGTTATTTCCATTATCAATCCAGTGAATCATAATATTGTCTCCATCTTGAATAGCATAATTTAGATATGCAGTATCAAGAATTTGAAATGTGCTTTCTAAGTCTAAAAGAATGAACGAATATTCTACTAAATGTTCCTCCTTGATCATACACTTTGCAATCAATCACCTGACTCATGGTTATAAAAAAAAACTAACAAACTGATAACTATCCACCGTACAGTAATCCTTGATTCTCAACAAACAACTCTACAACTTTCCACTTAAAGCTTTCTCAGCACTCATGCGAATCACTTCATCTTCACACTCCTTGGCCACAAACTCCAGCGCACTTCGATCCTTCAATTTCACGGCATCCGCGAGCACAATCGCAAATGCTCGACATTGCTTTGCCCAATGCAGCCGTTCCTTGGTATCCGAAATCTACCGCTGATTCTCCTTCTCCACCTCCACTTTAGGCAAATACCGCGCCGCCTCCTCGACATTATCATACTTCATGCAGACCTCCACAAACGGCACATAACCCACCGGACTTTTCTTCTCATTCGCGAACGCAAACAGCACGTCCCAGAACCTCCCTTCCGCCAGCGCTCCTATCTTCAGTCCCCAGAACCTTTTCCTCACTCCTCTCCGCGAAACGCCCACTTTTTCTCGGGGATTTTGAACATCGCGCGAATGCGGTCCGCCTGCTTCATCTGCGCCTTCAGACAGCAGAACCGAACCAGCTCGAACGCGCTGAGCTCCAGACAGCGCCGATCCTTCACCACGCCGAACAATTCCTTCTGGAAGCTCAGCAGTTTCATCTGTTCAGTGATCGTTTTATGCCAAAAATCCAGCTCTTTACGCACTGACAGAACCGCGGTGAGCTCCGATTGGATCTGCTTCAGATACGCCAATCGCCGATCCACGTCGCTTCCACCGCGAAACGCCCGACACACGAGATGTTCGCAGAGAACTTCGATTCTGTTCCGTGACACAATCCCGCCAGGCTGACCGGCCCTCCGCGCGGAGCAGACTCTCCACGTCGTCCCCGCGGATTTCCAGATACTCCTCCAAAATATCCCCGATTTCTGGAAATCCGGTAATCAGCGATGCGAAGCGATCGTTCGGAATCGCGCCGTTTTTCCACCTGCTGGTCACTACTCGCCTCCAAAACCCGCACCGAATCCAAATCTGCAGCGCAGCGAAGAGCATCAGATCGGCATCATGCGCATCGCTTGCTTCCTTCAGCGCGGTCGCCTCCTGCTCCATCATCAAATACAGCGGCACACGGTCCTGCACGCGCCGTTCCATCGCCAAAAATCGACACGCCAAATCCCTGCGATCTGATTGGTGCGCCGCCCACGCGATTTGACCGAATCCCGACGAAACGCCCGCCGCGAGCCGCTGTTTGACCAGCTCGAACAATTCTCCGTCGGGTAACGCGGCGGAGCGTCGGACTTTTTCGCAGGCCCACTCGATGAGCACGAAATCGTGGGGAATTTTGGAAAACGCGCAGAGCTACGCGGATGAACCGGCCAATCAAATGAAGCCAACCTGCACCGATAAATAGTAGCGACGACGCGCACATAACCGCGAAATGACGCATCGATCCTGAAGCACCTCGAACTCCCCCGCGGTAAGATACAGACCCACGTCCGCGGTTCGCAGCGCGTTCAGCACGCGGAGAAATCCAGCCGTTTTCTGGAAATCCAAAAAAAGTCCCGATTTTTCGTGGGCGTCCCAGTAGCGTTTTCCGTAGCTCGCGGAGCGGAGCAGCTCCTCCTGCAATAAACTGCTGAGCTCTTCCCTTGCAGCGTCCACACACTCTTGCACAGCTTCGCTCAATGATTCGCTATGCAGATCTCCGATGCCTTCGCACATGTCTCGTTCGCCTGCTCGCTGCGTGTAGCGCGCAAAGGCCGAGCGCAGCACCGCGCCCGGCGTCTGCGAGCCCGGCATGTACACATTGTAGATCGACGGTGGAACCTACCCCTCAAAAGTGGAAACCGTGGAAACGGCGCGGATGAGATCGTGGTGGAACCGCGAATAAACGCGGAGCGCATCGATTTCTTGGACGAGGAAGAGCGGCTCGAGCGAAACGTCGTAGTCGAGGCGGAGAAAATCGCAGAAGGGAGAAAGCAGGAGAATCCCGCGGTTCTTCCAGGAGGCGGCAATGCTGTCTTCGCCGCACCAGCAAAAATTGGCGGGTCGATCTTCGGTATGGGTATTGAACTCGAGAATCTAAAAAGAATGAGCGGGTGAGTAGAAGAGAGGAAAACCTTCTTATCGAAGGAAGTGCTGAGCACGATAATCCAACCCTCGCTCGTAAAACAAGCGATGTAATGCTGACTCGGCGATGGCGCCATGCGGACGATTCGGCCGTAGATACAGGTCTAGGAGGGGGAGAGGAGTGCGCTGGCCGCGTACGTTCACTTCGAGGTCGATGATGTCGGATGGGGAGATGACGAACACGGACTGGTCCCAGCAGGCGGCGAGAACGAGCATATCACCACTGTCCGTGAAGCGACTCTCAATGCAGCAGAGCGAAGTCACGGAGTTGCCGCTAGCGAGAGAAAGGGAGGGAAATTCGATGAGCGAAGGCGTTTCCTCGTCACAGAGAATGTGGATACTGATCGTTAGATTGATGCAAGAAGATTGAAGAACTTACAGACGACCTGTTCGCGTGTAGCAAAGACAGCCACTTTCGGTGGGTGTTCCACACATCACGATGTCGGTGAAAGCTTGCTCGAAGAGCTTCAGATCGGAAAGACGGTCTCCCATGAGCGAGAAAACCGATAATCTTCCGTCTTCAAACAAAAGGAAGAGGCGCTCGGATATTGTCCATCCCATCACAACCACGCGGGAGTGCTGCCACTCACGACCCGGAATTTGAGCAAGCTATCCATAAAGCGCACATGATGACACAAACCTTTCTTCCTGTCGAATCAAAAATGAAAATGTCCGTCGACAAGGATATATCACTATTTAGAGGGAGTATTTCGTTCGTGTTCCACACCAGAGCAATCGCACCTAGATAAAATCCAATCTGAATCGATTACCGCTAAACTGACTGCATGCTGCATTGAAGTTTTCCAACGGAAAGTCGCTCCACTGCATTGAATCGTACAAAGTCACCTGTTGATACGGAATTGCATTTTCTGCCTCGCCCAGATACTGCCATTCCTCAGGTTCGTTTCCTGGCAGGAATTCCATTTCAAATAGACAGATGTGTGTGTGAAAGCAGTGTCTTGAGCAAAATCCCCCCGATTTTTGGAAAACAAACAATGCAGATTTTCCCCTGACTGACAAGCTTTTTATACTCCTTAAACTCCCCGTTGAACCGCACGATGGTCTGGTTGCGAATGGTCCACAGCTCCTTGCACACTCGACTGATGAAGAACTGGTCATGCGACACGACGACCACGCCTCCCTTAAACGCGTTCAGCGCCTTCGACAGCGCCTCAATAGTCTCTACATGACTCTCTCTCCACAACACAACCAATATCGAGATGATTCGTGGGCTCATCGAACACCAAAATATGCGGATTTGTGTTTGTGATCATCGCGAACGACACGCGCGTTTTCTGCCCTCCGCTCAGCGTCTTAATCCTCCTCCCGGCCATCTCTACCCCTCATCTTCTCTCAAACAACCTCTCACCCTCCGTCACGCCGAATCGCGCCAGCTGCGACCGGATTTTCTGCTCGTCGTCCTTCGGGTACAAATCCTTCATCAGCTGGTAGGGCGTTTTATCGAAGTCCAGCTGGTCCACGTGATGCTGCGTGAACACGCCGCACCGCAGCTTGTGGTTCCGAATCACCTGCCCTTCCAGCGGGATCAGATCGCCCAGCAGAAGCTAGCCTTCAGCTCCCGCGGGGAGACGCCTACTTTGACCATCGTGGATTTACCGATTCCGTTGGGCCCCAAAATCCCGATCCGCGAATCAAAATCGATTCCGAAGTTCACCTTTCGGAAGAGAATTCGGTCCGGAGTGTATCTACCCGTCACGGTTTCCACGTTTCCCCACCCAAAAGTAACGTCGTTGGATTGTAAGATGGGCATCTGCAGAGGGAGCGGCTATTAAATGATGGAATTCGATCGAACACACGTCCACAAACTGAAAGCGAAGCATGGGATCCTCCGAAGGCATTGGAATCGCGTCCATTTCCTCCTGCAGTTTCTTCACGACCTTCAATTTGCTCTGCACCTGCCTATCGTTCAGCTCTTCTTTTCTTTTTTTCTACGGAGCTCGGTTCGCATTCACACGGAAGCGATTAATAAACACCATCAAATGGTCGATTTGACCCTTCAGCGACGCGCGTTCACGCTCCCGATTCAAATTCTCCTCCTCAAACGTCTTTTCATACGCGTCATAATTCCCGCGGAAGTACAACAACTGCTAGCCCTCAAAAAGTGGAAACGTGGAAACTTGATCGCGGATGAGCATGATGTCGGTGCAGATGGTGTTGAGGAAGTGCCGGTCGTGGGACACCACCACCAGCGTTTTTCCATAATTCTCCAGGAAATCTTCGAGCCAGATGACCGTTCCGATGTCCAGATGATTGGTCGGTTCGTCCAGCAGCAGCAGATCCGGCGAAGAAAAAAGCGCGGCAGCCAGCGACACGCTACCCATGATCGGGTTTTTATTGATAAAAAAAATACCGCATACGCCAGCCTCCGCTTAACAAATGCGTCGGTTGGTTGATCATCTCGTCGGAAAAGCCGAGTCCTCGGAGAATGTCTCGCGCCACCACGTCGGCGTGGATCAGATTCCGGTCGCGGATCTCTTGGTAGACCGTCTGCAGCCGCTGCAGCTCGCTTTCCGTCGCGCCTAGGCGTGAAAATCGGGGGGATTTTTGGACTGTCGGTCTTGGATTTGGCTTCGATGGACTCCTTCTCGGCCAGGAGGTGCTGGTAGATGGTGTTGCTTTGCAGAACCATTTGGAGAACGCTGTTGGGGCTCTCGGGGATCTGCGAGGGAGCAGAAAAGGGGAAACGGAGGTACTTCTTGCTCGACGTACATGACACTGATGTGGGCGGGGAAACCGGTGATTTGACGGCGAGAAATGTGTCTGGGAGTGAAAAATGAAAAGGAAAAAGCCACCGCAGAAGCGTCGATTTCCCGATTCCGTTCCGACCGATCAAACCGTATTTTCGGCCGTAGATTAGCTTCAAAGTCGCGCCGATCACCAATTGCTTGCCGGGAACGCCGATCGTCACGTCGTTCACCGAAATGTCCATCGTCTTGCCCGTCGCCTCCATGTTTACCGACAGTTTCGGAGCCTCGGCTTCGTACACTTCCTCCTGCGGACTGTTGTTCCGGCGACGCTCCACGCGTCTCTCGTAACGCTCCTTGCGAGCCTTTAGCATTTCCATATTCTTCTTCTCATCAATGTCCGTGTTGGTGTTGATTTGGAACTAGATTTGACGCACTTCTTGACAAATCACCTCCTGTGCATTCCACAAAATCGATGCAGCTTGTGTTTTCTTCTGGACATCGTCCATAGTGCTCAGAACGACGGGCTGGTCCAGCTTGTGGGGTTTGCGGTCCACAGCGCTACGAGTATTATTGGCATTTCCAACACGTACGGCTTGCGTTTCTGACCCTTACTCAACAAGGGCGGGATTTTTTTACAACGCATTCCAATCTCCTCCTCCGGAACCACGTCGTACCCCGTCAGAATAGGAGTTAAGATATCTGCCAACTCGTCTGCAGATGCCGACTTATTCTCCTCCACGATGGATGCAACGTAGGGTACCAAGTCCTGGTCGAGTTCAGGGAATACTTCCAACGCGATCTTTTCAAAATTCATCGTTTTCAAAATGGAAAAATATGACTTTTCAGAGAATCGCTGTTGTTTTTGAGCAAGAAACTTCCAATAAAATTCTTGCAACAAACAATTTAGCTATTTCTCGAAAAATCATAATTCTTCGTATTCGTACAATACGCCGTAGGCTCCAGTTCATACACCGTGTGCATCTTCACATCAATGTATGGGATCTCCGCTCCTGGTTTATCCATAAAATAGGACATGATCACCCGGATCACGGCCTTGTGAGCCACCACTAGAATGCTATCTCGACTTCCCACAAGCTTCATCAACACGCGGTGACATCGTTCCTTCACATCCAGATAGCTCTCCCCGCCTATCGTTACATCCACACTCTATATCTACCAGGATACCGATACCGAAGCTTATTATCCTGTCTGCGTTGATATTCCTTGGGATACTTCGCTTTTATTTCTTCGTATCTACTTGATCAAAACCCGATCACTCGTACGTCATCGAATCGAAGTCACCGCCATCCAATTCACGCAGCAAATTGCAGAACTCCACCTACCGTTATCAATAAACCTACCAAAAGAATTTACATTGTATTCATACATCAGCGGCTTAATGGTCTGGTACACACGATGCGAAGTGTCGCATAAGATCGAAATTGTTTCATTCTACGCCTCATTCCTCCGATTTCACCCTCACATCGCCTTGCGAGCTAATGAACTCATGCAGGTCTTTACTGAAGAGAATGCCGTTTTCGTTCAATTCCGGATCGCCACCCAGAATCCCCTTGCGATCATTGTCCGTCTCGCCGTGAATGCAGAGCCAGATCTTGCGCGGCTGGATGTGCGCATTGAGCAGATAGAAGATCACATCGGACTCTAAAACGCCGTTGCAGCGATTGGCTTTGAGATGCTGACCGACCTACGCAGACATCGATCGAAACAAAGCAGAAAAAACATTGTAAAGCTTGATGTAGGGAATGTCTTTGTCCAGCTCTTCGTCCACTGGCTCGTAGATCGACTCGTACTGCTTCAGACGGTCTTGGAAGTCGCGACGAGCTTCCTCTGGATCCATTTGCGAGTAGTCTGAGAGGGAGATAGGCTCATGGCAATTACCCGAGTTGGAGAGTTTCATATCGTAGTTCTTTTTGAGGAGAACCGGGTCGTCACAGATGCTTTCGATGAATAAAACGTCGAATTCAGCGTGCCAACAACGTTCCAAAATCTGCTGCCTACCCTAATAGCCGGATTCAGAATTTACCGTCTTTCACGTGTTGTGTTCGTGGCATCGAAGATGCCGACGTCACCGCCCTCCATTAGAAAAGCCATCAAGTCTAGATCGCCAATTTCTACAGGATCCTTACCATCCAAAGCAAACACGGCGAATCTGTTTCTTAACTGGGCGCCAGCAGTGTTTTGAGGGTCAAAAAAAGAAGCTCCTTCTCCAGAGTGTCCACACTAAAGATTAGAACCTCTTAATCACATACCTTTCTTCTATAGTCTCCGGCATTGAAAGATTTAGTGTTGTATCCAACCCAATTGAGATATCTGTGAAGCATCTTTACAATATAACTTTTTCCTCTGGCCTAAAATTGTTAGCGGACTGCTAATTCATACCGGAAGGCCAATCATTACGATCACTGTCTTTTTACCTATCAATTCTGTGGATTGGGGGATCTCTGTTTTATCTATAGAATCACCTCAAGTATCCAGCAAAAACAGATCTCCGATGCTGTTCTACGTAAACGACTTCCAGACATGAAATAAACTAACAATCCCTTTGGGAGTTTCAAGAACGTATAAACATATCCTTATATAGATAAGGTAATTGTACACTGTCGGTGTTATTTTAAGAAGAGTAACTGCTTCAAAGGAAGAAGTGATTCCTGATGTGGGTCTGAATAATTAACAATTAGTGGAACGAGCTTGCCTTTTGTTGGTAGTACGAATGTTCATACAAATAGCTTTGTCAGTGAATTTTCACTTTGTTTGTAAAATGGTAGAAGCATCAAGAATATTATAATATAGGAGGAGAATGGGCGTTTGAAACGATTTATAGCTCTGTCTCCGGATGAGAACTCATTATCTAAAAGAATCACCACAACAACACGCCAAGAGGCAAAGTACATGCAAATTGATTCCAAAGTTGTTTTTACCGCTGCATGGTTAAAGTTGTAGACTAGGAAGGATTTGATAAATACTGCAGTTCGTATAATCCTTTTAGAAGGCTTTCAGCATAATAACATAATAAAAGCAGAGTCTCTGAGAAAAACACTCCAGGAGCAACTCAGCTATACTCTTCCTCCCGGTTCCTATATGTATTCTTCTTATGAATGCTGATAAGAAGGCCTCTACTCAGGGAAGTCAACTATGCTTTAATCGATGTGTTTGGATACTGCATTGTCCCTCTTGGAGATGTAATTGAAACGAGCCAGAACACGAAAAAGGGTATTATTGGATGATATCTTGAATCTAGCCTGTGCGATCAAAGAACTTTTACTAATCAGTCTGGTTTCGAACGATATCGTGAATTTCTACGTATACTTCGTCATATTTCAAGACATAGAACTGCAAAAAGCGCGATCCTGCCGATCTAGGCAAGCTCTTTTGGACATTGGTTTTCTTGTATTTAAACAACGGTTACGAATCCATTGCTCTGCAAAGCACGCTCAAAACGATTACTGGCGATGTAGTGTCGCTGATTCTTTTTGTTGAATAGACCACGGCGAAGGTTTCGTGGATGTTGAGCGATTGGATCAGGCAACGCTATCTGGCCGTTGAGAAGAAAACGCTGCAAGGCGGAGAGGAGATGAGCAGAATTGTGTTGGGTCCTCGAACGTTTAACGAAATTGGACACCAGAACTTGACGAAATTTGTGGCGAGTGTGTGCAATTTTGATTATTCGGAGAAGATTACGAGGGAATGGATGCTGGATTATCAGGGACAAGAAGTAAAGGGAACGGAGAACGAGGAGAGAAGGGAATGAAGAGGCGAATATGTATTGTAATATGTGAGATGTTTTTTGTTTTTTGAAGGAAATAGTGTGAAATGGAACAGGAAAAAGGGGAGCGACGATTTGGTTAAGTTTGGATTGTGAATTGCTACAGAATCTGGAATGGGAAAAAATGGTCTAAATAGTTGAGAAGAGCTGCTCACTTGAAAACGATGCTTATTATCTGTGGAATGATCAGAGTGAGAACTACTCAATTTCTGTTGTTCAGCCATTTTTCATTCGAAGTTTGTGAGTTGTAAAATTATCTGTGTATAGGCACAAAAGCATATTGAAATGCAATCAAGGAAAAGATTCAATTGATACGAATATAAGCCATTAAAAAATGTATCATATTCACACACCACACAAAAATGATATAAACAATAGAACTCTTTTTTTGTGTTGTGATTATCAAATGCTGATTTCATGTTAACTTGTATTAATGTGATCTATTGACATGAATGATAACAATAATGAAAAAGAGCCTTGTTATGTGAAACAGTAAAAGAAAACATCGAAGTTAATGCAGTGATCGAACATATCATGTTCAAGATTCTCAGAAAATTAAAATACAAAACATCATAAAAAAGATTGAAAGCATTGACAAGCAATAAGTGGTTGTAATCATATTTAAGGATAGTAATAAGTAATATCAGAAATGATATTATAACAATTAATTCTCACACGATTAGCAAGCATGGTGGAAACCATTTTGAGTAAAGACAGGTTATTTGATCATCACACACAATTGATCTAGAATTGCCATTTTTATCATCATTTTTTACAGAGTAAATGAATTGTTTCCGATTTTGATAGTTTGCAATCGATTCAATTCATCGATTTTGAATGATTGCACCGATCCAAAACATTCATCGCCAATTTCGATTGATTCCAAATTATACAACAATGAAACATCCCAATCAACCAATACACAATTGTCACTCAGTGTCAAATGTTTGATTCCGATATTCAGTGGTTCTGAACCATTCCCTACATATTCAATAATACTTTCAATTCCATTATACCATTCACATTCATTCACTAATTTACCATATCGATCATACACTTTTCCAATTCCAAATCGCTTATCATCACACCAATATCCTTCATATTCAATCAAACCATTATCATGATAACTCGTTCCATACCCAAATCGTTTCCAATTGATCATTATGCCCTTGTACACCAATATTCCATCATCATCATACATTTCACCATATCCAAATGGAATTCCAAACTTGTTTTCTGTCAATACCAATCCTTCAAATCGACTTCCATGATCCAAATCCACGATTCCTTCTTCTGCTACTTCTATGGATTGTTCTCCATTATACGAAATAGCACCAATTTGATGATTTCCAAACACTTTCAACACTTTCTGCTCATTGACCACAAATCCTTGATTCATGAATACTCCATTATTGAATCGCAATACTACAAATTCTCTATTACTCAATATGAGTGAAATCCAGCCATTTGGTTTCATTTCTTCATTCCAGCATGCCTGTACATTTTGAATAATGGAACTATCAATTTGATCGTTATCAGTAATAGAATTCTGAACCGTCTCCAAGGGATTCTCCGACTGGAGCATCACCCCCGCTCTTCCTCAGGGTATGTCGATCAACCCCAACTCCGGTCTCATTGCGGGAACCGTGCCTTCGGGTGTGGAGGTGGGTCAGAAGACTTACACCGTGTCGGCTACGCTGGCGGGTGCGGAGGAGCCTGTGACCGGCGAGCTCTCCATCAACTTCCATACCTGCTTGGGCAATGGATATCGTCGTGTGAAGATCGATGCGATCAAGGGAAATCGCCGTGCTCGCCAGAGCTACGATATCGTGTCCAACGGAGAAGTCGTGGAGTCGGTCAATCTGATCGAAGTGTACAATTCTTACACTGGAACTGACACGTCGTCGTCCTCCCAGACCGACTATTTCTGTCTGCCTGAAGGAAGCTATGAGATGGTCTTCCACACGGAGAATGGATTTGAGAAATGGGTGGACGGATCGTCCATCACGCTGAACACCTACACGCACACTGCGGCGAGCTACTTCATTGGAGTGTATTCTGGAATGAGAAACGGCGATCGCATCACGTTCTCGAACAAGTTCTTGATGAGCGGAGAGATGGACAAGTGGACCTATCTGGCTGACGGAACGGTGCCTGAGGGATGGAACACTGTGGAGTTCGGCGATTCGTGGACGACTCTGACCGAAGGCAACACGGTGTCGCAGTCTGTGTGGCTGTTCCGCTCGACTGTGGAGATGGACACCATCCAGGGCTACAACAGCTACAAGCTGAACATGAACTGCCGTGCGGGTGTGGTTGTGTATCTGAACGGTGTTGAAGTGTACCGTGTGGGCGTGGAAGGAGAGGTGACTTCTGGAAGCACATCCACCATTGATAATGACAGCTTGAAAGTAGTAGGGAAAAGGCGTAAAACGCGCGAAAATCCATTTCCTACCAAATAACCGCGGCAACCCATTTTTTGCCATTTTCTGCCATTACCTGCCTGGCTACCTTATTGTCCATAACAAGAAACGCGCGGAAACCCATGACTGCCAATTTCGGCCAATTCCTGCAATGTTAACCTGACTTCCATTGTAGGCCATGGTATGCATGGATGTCCAAAGTGAAAGATTGCTTCCTTTACTTCAGTCTATAATGCCCGAATGCCAGTGTATGCACGTTGTCGTCCAAGATCCAACGTTTGTTATCTGTGCAAGTCATGAGTGTCTTGGTTTGTTCTTTCGTGCTGATGTTGAATGCTTGATTGTTGATACGCTTGAAGCTGCCCTCGATCACTGCATCTTCCTTCTTCTCTGCCTCAAGGACGCGCTTGTATAGTTCGATGTTCTTCACGCTCATCCTCTCTCCATCAATCACCACATTGCGAGGAACTCCCTTCGCTGCGTTGTGTATCACATGCTTCTCATCAACCAAGCAGTACATCTTCGGTCTTAGTCCCACGAACTCTGTGATGCGATGCCCGTTGTGCTCATCCTTGAAGATGGGTCCCGGCAACTTCTTGTTGAAGTTGAGGAATGATTCCAATGAAGGGAACTTGCTCTTGTCAACTTCATGATCGTAGTAGTTCACGAGTTCACCATAGAAGTAGCTCGTGTTGTCCAATTCAGAGAAGTCGAACGACTTGTACATGTCGCACATTTTGTGGACGATGTTACCACGGTCGTTCAACTGCACGATGAGCGAATCTGTGTCCTGCCCCAACAGCTCCACGGTGTCGAATGTGTTCTTGAGCACGTTGTAGTAGAAATCGTAGATGATGTGTTTGGACATGTCGAGAATGGCGAACCCGATGAAGAATGGCTTCTCTACCTTGCGCACCGGTGTGTTCAGCTTAATGCCAATCAAATTCTCGGAATACATGGTAGTCCCGGCGATCATGTCGTACCCATGCTTCTGAATGATGGCTTCACGTTCATTCCACGTGTTAGCGAACTTCACTTTCATCCGTTTCAACCCAGTCTCCACGAATTTGCCATAGGTGGAGTTTGCTAATAATTTGTACAGGTTCTTTTCTACGGTGGTCTTGGACTTGGCTCG